GGCTCCACCCGCCCCCCACCCCCATGAGTGCAAGAGGAAGGCAACCAATTGATGTGTCTCTCTCACATTGATGTTCTCTCTCTCTCCCTTTCACTCTCTCTGATAAAGCAATGGAAAAAATTATTCTCAGGTGAAGATTTAAAAAAAAAAAAAGGGCAAGTTTGCATTTGGTTGATCTCCAGAGCGGAATGGAGGGTTGGTTACTCGAGTACTTTGAGGAGAGATGAAAAAATTATCACCCCTGCTACCACTCACTTAAAAAGTGTCAAAATGTCTTCCTTCCCCTGGTATTTTAAAAAAAAAGCTAGTAACATTCCAGAGAATGAGAAATTGTTTTCATCTTTCCAGATGATGTACTGAGTGGGGTCTCTGGGCCCTGGGCTTGGGACAGGGACAGAGATGCAGACCCAGGAGCTCACTGACCCACACAGCAATATTTGGCTCCTAGAGTTGGCACATCCTGAAATGATGTCCAGGTTTGGAAGTGGGGGGATTGGAGCCTCTGTTACCACACTGATTGTAAAAACAGAAGAGCGGGACATTGTAGTTAGAGGGAAGGTCTGGCAACAGGCAGGGCTCAATTTGGGGACATGGACAGTGGCTACTGCCAGAGACCATAATTCTGATAAAAGCCTGGAGAGTGGGGCTTTGTCCCCACCCTGCCTGATGAACTGCCGGTGTGTGAGTTAGAAAGCTGTATGTCCTGGGTCCCTAGTCGCCTGTGCAGCTCGCTGCTTTGTGCAGACACTGGGGAGACTTTTGCTTCCCACCTCCAGCAGCATGACCCTTCAGAGTGCTGTTTCATTAGATTTTTAAATTTTTTTCTAGAAGGATAGAACCTGGAAAGTGGCTGAGGTTTTATCCTCAGAGCCAGAGACACCCAGGTTTATCAGAGTGGGCTGATGAGGGCCCACAGAAATGAAGCCGTTATCCCCAAATCTGTGCAGGGAGCAGAGCTCCTGATCTGCCTGTGGATGTGGCTACAAACATGGTGTCTTAGCTGTTATAAAATTTTGTAGCTCTGACCTGAAGGTTCTTGCCTTTAAAATCCAAATTGCTTGAAAAGTAGTCCATAAACGAGTCATGGCACATGCTCTAAATTTTATTCCTGGAGATGTGAAGCCTGCCTGAGGCTTTGCTGCTTTGGCAAGTGTGTGTATGCATGTAATACCAGGTATATATATGCCCCATAAATCTGTGACCAGCGCCCTCAATCTGGACTCAGGCGCGGCAGAGAGGTCTGAGCCCTGCTGACGGGGACCATGTGTTGCTTCCCTGCACAGCAGTTCTCTGGAGCTCATTGTTGTCCGCGCTCCCGCTGCCGCGATCGTAATTAATGTCACTAATGGTTTTCCTGCCCGCAGAGTTTAGCCACTTGGGAGAATGAGAACAAGATCCACTGCACACAAACTCTCCTTGAGGGTGACGGCCCCAAAACCTACTGGACCCGCGAGCTGGCCAATGACGAGCTCATCCTGGTGAGGCCCTTGCCCCGGTTCCCCAGATTATGCCACACAAGCGCCATCCGCCCTCGCCCGTGCAGGGAGAGACGCTGTTTGCCCTGGGTTAAAATTCAGGCAGAAAGCCGAGACGACAGCTTAGGTCAGAGGACATCATTGTTCCATGGGGCAGAGTAGGGGCTGGAGGCAGGCAGCTGTCACCATCCCGGTGCTGACTCTGAGCCGGCCTCCCCTCCCGAGCTCCTGAGGCTTGGGCTCCGTGAGGGCCCAGAGTTCACTTTTTTCCCTTCTCACTCCCCACTTTTCTGCCTGGGAAAGATTTCAGAAATTTTAGCACGTCAGCTCTGGGAGTCTTAGAGAACATCTGCCACCCCCAAGCCCCTCACCCACGCCTTACAAGCTCCAATGGCCTCCGGGAGCCAGGCAAGTGGTGCTAATTTGGGAAGTGTCTGAGTGTAACACGATGTAGAGGGTGGGGCCTTAAAACTGGAAGGGATGGGCTCTACCCTAAAAGTATTCCGATTAAAACATTTTAAATAGCTCTGGCCACACAAAATTTACCCGGTGAGGCTTAGAAGCTCCTGTAGTTTAATCCACCCCCACCCCCTTTACTGTAGGTATAGACCAGAGGACAGGTCACCCCATTCCCCTCTCCCTCTTGTTCAGAACAGACCACACTTCTCTGGCAGCTACCTTTTGTCCCTCAGACTGGGAAACAAGCTGTTGTGGGTCACCAGGAAGTGACATGTTTGTTCTTTAACACCTCCCCTCTAAGACTGCCTGCCTGCCCCGCTCAGCAGCGTCACCCTGAAATGTCCGGAAAGGACTCACTGCCTGACTTGGGCATGGCCCTGCCCTTCCCAAGCTGTGAGAGGAGGGGCTGGCTAAAGTCAGATCCCTGGGGTCCCTCTCGGCCCTGAGATTACATGTTTGTTCTGTGAGAAGACCTCAGTGGCGCTGTCTCTACTACTTTAGCCAAGGCTGCCTGGTCTTTCTGTCCTGCAATGATTTCACACGCTTTCCCCTTTCCTAGAGAAAGGACCGGCTTGCCTGAGACGTGGGTAATGTTTCCAGGGAGGTGGGGGAGCAATTTGAGACATGGACATTTAGGTTAAAAAGACATACGTGTGTGGTTCACTGGTACCAGAGTTAGCAAAGAGGGAGGTGGCTTTAGAATTCCTGAGTGTGGCCGAGGGCTAAGTAGGCTCGGTTTGCTCCACGAGAAACTGATTTTATTAAGCTCTGTAGTATTGGAGCAGCCAGGGCACAGGCCCAGTTCTGCCAGGAGGGCTCCTCCACTTCAAAATTCCTGCTACGGCCCCACCCTCGCATCCTTCCCTGGCTGGGCAGATGTGCACGCGTGCCTCAAATGGAGCATTAATTCTGGGCATTTGGGGTATGAAATGAGGGCTCTTATTTCAAGGGTTATACTCATTAATATGTTCAAAGGTAGGGAGATGCTGGCTCATATAATAAAAGGCAAATTCGTGACGTTGAAATAAGCTGTCCCAGGGCCATCAGTACATCACTCCCGAGCTCTAAGTTGCCTTCTTTTGAAAACTGAGTATCTGCCCTCAAACCACTCTGGAACATTCTACCATTTCTTTTGGGAGCCTCTCAGCATAGTTTCCAGGCTGAAAAGGACATTTCAAATGTGGTTGGAAACGTGGCAATTTTCTCCTTGTGTCCTGAAGCCGTGTGTCAGCCTGGGTGAGGTGTCAGCTCCTTACAGTGCAGGTAGAGTCCAGTCCCCAAACGGCATTCCAGTTCACACTCCATGGTCGTAGAGTTCAGAGAGTTTTGGTTCTGAGAGGTGTCAGTGGGAACTCCTGCCCCCTTCCCTGGCACACAGAATGGTGTGCTTTCCTCCCCAATGCAGAGATGATCAAGAGAGTAGGACAGAGAGGGGTCCAGAGCAGGTACAACTGTGCCAGTGTGACTAAGAGTTCCCTCCTTAGAAGACAGCAATGAGGATTCGCTTCCTTAATAACCATTAATGATTAGTGATTCCCTGAAACACGTGCATTGGGATGTGCTCTGTGAGAGCTTCCCACCACCAACCGAGGGACAACAACAAGGATCTGAAGATCCAAGCTGTCAGTCCAGGGCTGTTAACCTTGCTGGAGCCTCAGGCCCCCGAGAATCTGACAGATAGGGACCCTCCTGCAGAAAAATGTCCATCTTCACACAGACACCCACATCAGGCCCTCAGCCTGGGGATTCTTGATTTTTGGTTTTGTTTTTTAAAATGCATATTGGTTTCCCTGTTCCTCTGCCTGTGAGGGCCCAGGGGAGCAGGCCCTGTGAGTCACTGCTGGATTGAGAGAGTTGATGAAGCTTACTTAGGGGCAATATGACTTCAGGGGCCAGAAGAAAACCATCCTCATTCTGTGGAATGGTTCGAGTCCTCCCTGCAGTCAAACAGAGCCATCACTCTTAGCTGGAAAGAGTCTGTGGGATCATCCTGTCCCGTTCCTCCTCTCCATCCAAACTGTCAGGAAAGGTCTGGTCTTTGGCTGCCACTGTGCTTTTTCTAGGTTGCAGGTGACTTGAGTGTTACTTCCACAGCATCTCAGGCCTTCTCGCCCGCTGCACAGCTGCTTCCTGGAAGGCACCTCTGCACCTGCCCTGCAGCCCTCCCATCTGGTGGTCAGCGCTGGACCCCAGGGCTCCAGCTGCCCAAGGCCGTGGCTCTCTTGAAGTTACTTGAAAGGAGACAGAAACCACTTCAGAAATGTCCAGTGTGACACACTCCCTTTCAGTTTAATTTCAAAACCAAAGCCAGGGAACTTGGATTGCTATGTCAGCATTGGCGGGCTCCAGAAGCAAAGGAAAACTGCATGTAACATAATTCTATACCCCGACTGCCTCTCTGCCAATACAGAGCTTAAGGGAGGAGAAAAGAAAGGAAAAAAACCCGTTAGCACTTAGCATGAGCACATGGCACAGGAAATTGAATGTCTGTTTCAAAGAGTTTTTAACGGGGCAGTAAGTGGCCTTATTAGTGATATGCTTTAAACGTTTTCCTTCCCTTCTGCAGACGTTCGGCGCCGATGACGTGGTCTGCACAAGAATTTATGTTCGGGAGTGAAGGCAGCCGGCTTGCTCCTGCTTTGGCAGTGCAGTGCATGTCCCCCTGAGGAATGTCATAGGTCTGAGCTGCCAGTGGACGTCCCCTTCCCCCTTTTCCCCCGTGTCAGCTTAGGTGATCCCTTTTCCCCATGCCCAGGTTGTAGTGGTTTCCTGAGGCCTCTGTGCCATGTCCCTAGTGCTCCATAGTTTGGCATCTGCACGGTCTCATCATTAAACTGGTTGGACACATCTCAAGGCGTCTCCCTTCTTTTCACTGCCTCTTGGTTTCAACGCGAGGCTGCTGTGCCCGCCATCCTGCCCCAGCCCTGCGCTGGCCTGGGCATGTGCTCAGCCTCAGCCTGCTGCCCATGGCTGTGCTTGGAGCTATGGCAGGGGCTGCAAGCTAGGCTCCCTCCTCTGGATCCAAGTGTGTGGAGCTCACTGTGTTGTTTTTTCATTGGATTTGTTGGTATGTTGGTGGTTCCCAGCAGGAAGGGGGGGAGGGGGCATGCAAAAGGGATAAGTGATGAGAGCTCAGAATGAAGGGAGTATTTACGTGGATAGGACAAGGAGAACCACCAAAGCATGGGAGGCAGCGCAGCCATACCCGTCCTGGCCCAGGCCTGAAGACAGAAGGGATGGGGCGTCAGTCACCAGCCCACAGGAGCTGTAGCCCGAGAGAGGGTAGCCACTGACACCATGGCCCCACTGTACGCAGGTGGATGGGTGGGTGTCTCTTTGACTTTGTTTGGAGCTGGGGGTTAAGGATCCTGACCTCCCATCATTCAGTCTCTGATCTACCTATTGTGCCCACTGGCCAAAGCCACCTGAAACCTAGAGGGCAGGAGAGTGTGTGTGGGTGGGGGGGTGCTGCCCACGAGAGTCACCCTCCCAGGACATACCCAGGCAGAGAACATATCTGAACATGCAAGTGGACAATGCACAGTTGCCAACTTTTACTTCTGAAAGACAGGCGGTTTCACATAAAAATGTGAATTTCTTTCTTACCTACATTCCCACGGAAACAACTGGCCTGGCAGTGTCCCCCTTTTTACATGGAACTGTATACCCTCTGCCTCCACATGGATCCCATCGTTGCCCCCACCCTCATTTAGGTTTCCTGGCTTCCAGGTCGCCCTCAGAGAGCTCACTCTAATGAGGCAGACACCTACAGTCCGGCACCTGAATGAAATGACATGTTTACCAGACTCCTCACACCTCTGCAGCACAGAGCTCCACTTTGCTGGGGAGGGGGGTGGGAGGAGGAGGCTCGGCCCCCTCTAAGACTCCACTACTCCCACTGAAACTCTACGGGGAGGGCTCTTATGCCAAATCTGGAATGCAGCTCACACCCTGGAGTCTGCTTGTTTGTGGCATGTGGCACCTCTGCTCTTGTCCACCTCTGCTTTGTGAACCTCTCAAAACCCCTCATGAAAACAGCCAGTTCAACATCTGGTTCTATCCCTAAGACCAGGGGCAGGGGCACCATGCTATTCCCTCCATTCTGATTGTTTCTCCTGTCTGGGGCTTTATAAGTCGCCAGAAACAGCAAGTCCACAGCATTTCATATGGCAGAGAGCGGAGGAACTGCCGGATGGCTTCTTGGAGGAAGGGGAATGGAGCTGGACCTCTCAGGAGGGGAAGACCTGGGCTGGTATCTAGCATCAGTGGTTGCCACACACTCAGAACACAGTCTGCAGCCCAGTTCCCTGGACTCCTGTTCCTTCTTTATTTTCCAGAAATAAAAGGCAGTGTTTCTCACTCCCTCTTGGAGCATCTCTCAGGGCACAGAAGTGTTCCATGGAACCCAGCCTGGGAATTGCTGCTAAAATATTCAGCCTTTACATAGGTGTGTGGACACACATTACATATGATATCTGATATAAACACACACGTAGGATGAAAACCTACACTGTCAATCTCGCTAAAACATTCTCTAAATCTCGCTGTAAACGTCTTACTCCCCCTGCTCAGCAATCCCCACCACTTACAGCAGAAAGGTCAAGCTCTTTGGTCTGGAATTCAACCCTCCAGGATGCGGCTTCATCGGGTACATCAGAGAGGACAGCAGCGTCCATGTCTGTCAGACCTTGCTTCCGCTCCTGGCCACAGCTTTAGGGATGAACCTGAAAACATTGCTCTAAGTGGAAGAAGCTGGTTTTAAAGGACCACATATTGCATGATTCCATTTACATGACATGTCCAGAGAAGACAAATCCAGAGACAGAAAGGACACTGGTGGTTGCCTAAGGCTGCAGGTGTTGGGGGAACACAGGAGGGACTGGTACAAGGGTTTCTTTTCAGGGTGATGAAAAGGCTCTAAAATTGATGGGGTGATAGTTGAAGAACTCTGTGAATACACTAAAAACCGCTGAACTGTGCGTTTTAAAAGGGCGAATTGTACACTATGTGAATTATATCTTAATAAAGCTGTTTTCTAAAAGCATTTGAGAACTTGCTCCCCAGCATGTCGTCAGTTTGGCTCAAATAAACTCATAAAAATTCAAAAGAAAAACAAAGTTTTTTTGCTTGGGGCAGGAACTGGGCCTCTGGGCCTGGATGCTGACGCAGAACCTGAGAGCCCTCTCCCGGGCCATCTCTTGCTCCATTGCGACTTTTGGTCAGTTGACCACTTATGGACCAATCACAGCTGGGTTAGGGCACGATGACTGGTGGGGCCAGAGTCATGTGACCTGTCCTGGGTCAGAGGCAGAACCTGCTAATCTATAGGTTCCCCTTCGCCTCGTTTTATTTTTCATAATGTATTTGTTGGAGAAACTGGTTGTCTGCCTTGTAAAGTTTCCCAGTCTGGGTTTTGATGACAACATTTCCATGGTGCTGTCCATCATGTTCTCCATCCCCTGTATTTCTTGTAAGCTGGTAGAACTATAAGCTCATCTGCTTCGGGTTTGATGTTTCTGGTGAGAACACCGCAGAGCCGGAGTGCCATCCTTCCCTGAGAGGACTCAATGTCAGATTGCTTCTCTTCCTGGGGTGTCAGCAGTCACCTAAGCCACAGGATCCGTGGTTCACCGGAGGTTGAAACAGGGATATTCTATCATTCCACCTTCATTCATGAGCTAGAATAGTTCCATAAAAAGGTACTTCCCCTCATCTACTAGGTGGTCAGTGCATACAGAAACGGCAGACTACACGTTCAGTTCTTTCCCTGTATTTACTAGTTTGTAAAGTAATGAATTGGTGCTCCTGGCATCCTTCAAAAAGGACCGATACATTTTTGTGGGTTTTGTTTGCTTTTCATTTTTTTCAATGTTCCTATGAATTTGTGGATGGAAATGCATTTGATGTGTTAATTCATTGCAGTTATTACCCTTATGGATGTTAGAAGTGGCCCATCTTTGGCCGGGGGAGCCTTTTTAAATGGGCTCTTGCATCTGTTGGCAAGGACCTCATCTTTGAGAACTTCCCTGCCATTTGGTGTGACAAGATGCTCCAGGCTCATTTTGCATAATTCCTGCTCCAGACCAGGAATCAGTCATTTCTTCAAAGGAGCCCAGTCCTTTTAGGAGGCAATGGTATTAAGAGACCACAATCCGGGGGCCAGGAAAGTGGTCTACTTTAGGTTCTAACATAGAAGCCAGCATGTTAGGACCCACGAGGCAGGTCACAGCCAAGAGTTACTCTGTAGTCCTTTGTTCCCTCATCTTTTGGTCAAAACAACGCTGAACAACAAATGTTACCAACAATCTGGTCAGCTGTCTGAGAATGACATGTCTTCCATTTTACTCAGAAATCTGAGCAGTTTCTGACCAACCTCTTTGTGACAGGGGATGGAGGTGGAGGCAGCAGGAACTTGGAAATTTTTGTCTGCAGCTCAGCACCAAGCTCTGTGGGCAACTGCATTAAAGAGGATTTAACTTGATGGGCAGTGGTCACTTCCATTCGAACCTCTTACCTCATGGGAGGTGGGCTTAATGTTCCATTCTTTGGGAGGGATATTAAACATAATTTCTGGGCAAAGAGCAAATTCTCACAAGGATTCTGCAAACATTATGTGTTACACTTATTACAAGTGGATAATTTATCTTTCTGGGAAAGTTTCCTACAGACTTAGAGAAATTCACTTAATAAAAAAAATAGATGACAGTCACAATGTTATAATTCCATTTGTTTCCACAAGGGAGGAAAGCTCATCAATTATGGTGAATGAAGGAGAGGGGTTTTTGGTCTCTAAGGTGGAATTTGATCAAGGTCTTTCCAAATAGTCATACTCAGGGCAAGTGGGATTTCGGGATTCTAGCATAAAAAACGTTGGCTTCAGAAACAATGTGTAGGAAAAATATATTGAGTCATAAACTCTGACAAAGAACATGATGAAAAGTGAAAACTATGAGAAACTTTGGGGGGAAAATCCAATTCTCAAAAACACACAGAATAAAATTAACATTAGTTTTTTTTCTCTTCCCTGCTATCAGGGATAGGTTCAGAAAAGGATTATTAAGTTCTCTTTGACCACCTTTAAAAAAAACACGTGGTCATATAGTTTGATGCAAAGAGCATACCAGGAGATCAGTCGCAAGCCCTGGCTCTGCCACTAACCAGTTCTGTAGCCCTGGCCTGCTTGAGTCCCCTTCCTGCACCTTTACGTGCCCATCTGTGCAGAGCAGAGATTGCCAGATGTGGACAGAGGCTGGGTTGGCTGCATATGAATCACCGGGGAGACCCCAAAATGTCCACTAGGGAAACAGTTAACTCCATCACAACAAGCCACTTCATGGAATTCTCTGCAGCTGTCAAACAGAATGAGGTAGGCACATGTATACTAACGTGGAAAGATGTCCAGGCTATATTACATTTTTTAAAAAATGAGTGATGATCTTGTTTAACGGGCAAAAAATAAAAACTATATGGTTAGCTTTTTCCAGGAAAAACACAAAACCCTAGAGGACACCCACTGAGCTGTAATAGCAGTTACCTCTGAGGATCAGCTGTTGTTACTCTCATTATTTCAGTGCTGCTGAAATTCATTTAGAATGACCATCTATTACTTTTGTAATTTAAAACACAATTTCATTTAAAAAGTCAGAGATTCTGCTTCTCTAGGTTTGGGCTGGAGCCCAGGAATCTTAATTTCTGTGTTCCCCAAGTGATTTCTAATAGCACAGTTGAACCAATGGTCACAGAGTTCTTTTCCCATCCCAACACTCGGTGACCCCAGGAAGTTTGACTCATGACTTTGGAATAAGAGGGCCAAATAAGAGAAAGAAGAAAGCCAGAAGGCAGGCACAGACTGG